CCCCCAAAACCCCAAAACCCCAAAACCCCTTGGAGGGAAGATAGGGTGGATATTATATATTATTGTTGTTCAGATGGCTTTTTGAAGGAAAATGAGTATAAATAGGTCTTCTACAAAGATCATTAAGGTGCCTAAGGTTTGTGGGGAAGAATGGGGGTTGAAAAAGAAAGAGAGTAGGGTAGAATTTGGAAGGTTTAAGAGTTATAGGAAATAATTTGAATATGAATAATACCAGCAGTGAATGGATAAATATGAACAAGGGATATAAGATTCACAAATTCCTTCAGAACAAGTCTCAAGATAAAATTAAATTAAAGCATGAGTATAATTATAACTCCTTCAAAAAGACTCTTTCTAAAGAAAAGATAAACTAAAAAGAAAAGTAGATTTTTATTCTAACTATCATAGAAGTTACAACGTATTGAAGACTAAGCACTGCATTACAAAACAATAAAAGTCTTGGAAATAGCCTCTCAGAAAGTTCCAATTTCATCAACTTCGATTCGAAAAAGTCTTCCAAAAAGACTAATAAAAACTACTTCAAAAATTCTCAAAGTAATTTCTTATTATCAAGATTTATAGCCAAGAAGAGTGGCCGAATTAGTGATGCTAGATACATCACAAATATCCAATTTAGAGGCAATTCTAACATCAGATATGAAGTATGTTAGTTGAGAACTTATGAATCTAGGACCCTGAGTTATCTCAGCCATTGCTACCTGCTTCTAATACTTCCCTTGCCAAAATATTTGCCTCTAATAACGAACCACAGAAGGATGAAAAGAAGACATAAAAATCTCAATTATGAAAATCCAACAGAAACAGTTAAGAGAAAAAGCTCATAAATTCTTAATTCAAGAGGCTACTCACAAGAGTGTATCTGTGTTGAATCCCAAATTTGAAGCTTTTAAAGGACCCCTCAACAATCGAGGATCAGTGGATATGAACCCTGTCAACAGTAATTCTCTTTACAAAAGTTTCATAACCTAGAATTGGTATAGACATGATTGAGAGCAAATTCTCTTTTATCGATTTCAATCACAAATCTAATTCAAAGAAGAATATTCCTCAAGAGAAGATCTTCCAGAACCCTTCTGACGTAAGCCTCAAGGCTAACAATAGAGAGCCGAAGAGATTTATAAGATAATCAAGGACATGAATACTTCAATTAGAGTTTAATAAAGGTAATGAATCACTCAGGAAGCATCGATCGAAGTCAAAGTTTAACCAAAAGAGAAGCTCTCTCAACCTCATGATGAGGCAAAGAGAGAAAAGTCAGAAGAATAACCTCAAGTATGGAATCTTAGGACAGGTAGAATTTGAATCATCTTTAGAGAGTCCAACCAAAGAATTCTCTTCATAAGCTTGAAAGCTCAGTTTTAGCCTTCGAAAACTCCAATTTAGACTTCAAAGTAGGGGATAGAACTGAAACTAGTCCTGTGAACTCAAGGAATGTTCAGATTTTGAAGCTGAAAGGCCTTAATCCAGAGAGGAAAAGGATGAACAACTCTGTGGAATGGTCAGTCAGAAATCATATCCAGATACCTATGAAAAGTATATTGAGCCATGCGGACCCATCTCAGGTAAAATAGATCAACAGGAGTAAAGCATAAGAGCAGAAGAAAGAAATTTAGAAGAAAGATCAAACAAACTTATGAGATTAATAATGAGTTACAGTATTCTTCTCAAAAGGTTATAATTTTTAGGCTGTTCAGACCACTCAATTTTAGTAGTTAAGACCTGTAGTATATAATAAACATTCTCTGTTTATAGAGGATGCTTCTTAGCCTCAGAAGAGAGTATTATTTTATAAAGTTCATACACAGGAATCCTTAAAGTATAATATTCAAGCTCAAAGAAATATCTAGGGGTTTTGGGGTTTTGGGGTTTTGGGGTTTTGGGG